TTGAAAGGTAAAAGAACGCAGGACGCCATCCTGCGTTACGCTCCAGATTGTGTCCGGTGATAAAATCGACATTTATGGAAAATTAAACGTTAACATCACGTTTGAAAGTGCCGCCTACCATCACACTGCATATGTGGCAGAGATTACAGATCCTTGCATACTCGGATGGGACTTTCTAAGGAAATGCAATTTTTCCTTGGACTTTAAGAATAACGAACTGCATTCTGCCTCTGAGAACATAGCCCTATTCGGAATTAATGATGAACGAGAGAAATCTATCCACAAAATCATAGCCCAAGACGATATCATAATATCCTCAAGAACATAATTTTTCTTCCTGGATCCATTGCGAAAATTTCTTCTACGGCATCATAGAATATCCCAAGAACAGTAACAACCCGAAAGCAGTACTAGTAGCCTCAGCACTCTTTGACCTATCGAGGACCGTTATCCCGGTGAGGTTTGCCAATGTAAATGACAAGGAGAGAGTTAATAAGAAAGGTGAAGTGGTTTCAGAATGTATTCTAGTGACCAGCGTTAAATGAAACAATAACACTTCAGAATCCGTGTCTTCAGAGAACATTACATCGGAGTTATTGCAGAATGCACAATTAAGCTATGAAGAGAGGAATGCTGCCGAACGTGTCATTCAAGAATTTCAAGATGTTTTCTCCCGCTCATTTTCTGACGTGAGTCGAACCAGCTTGACGCAACATAGAATCAATACCGGCGATCATGTCCAAAAGAAGCAACATCCAAGACGTCTACTGATTGCTAAACAGGGAAAGAGGTAGGAGAACTACTAAAGGACATCAAGAAAGTGATGTCATCGAGTTTTCAGCAAGTCCATGGGCATCTCCCATCGTCCTCATCAGAAAGAAACACGGTACAATTAGATTTTGCGTTGACTGCCGCCGGTTGAATTCAGTTGCGAAGAAAGACAGCTACTCTCTTCCTAGAATTGAGGAATATTCTGGACACTCTTTCTGAAAGCAAATGGTTTTCGACGCTTGATGTAAAGAGTTTTTGTTGGCAAGTAGAGATACGTCCTGATGACCGAGGAAGGAAGGCATTTACTACTGGACAAGGACTTAACAGTTCAAGGTGATATCGTTTGGATTATGTAATGCGCGGCGAAATTTGAACGCCTCATAGAGACTGTCGTTCCTACGAAGCCTGTCTGATATACCTAGATGACATCATCGTCGTCGGGAAGAGTTTTGAAAAACATCTATAAAATCTTAGAAAATTGCTTCAGAAACTGAAAGAATCCAATCTAAAGTTGCGTCATGCCAAATGTAATTATTCAGACAGAAAGTGTCTTACTTCGGACATGTCATCTCTACCGAAGGTGTGTGTACAGATCCAGAAAATATATTAGCAGTTAAAGACTGGAGACACCCCGAAAATTTTCATCAACTAACAAGTTTCCTGGGACTTTCGATCGGTATATTTCCTCGTAGTCGAAGACTAGTCGGTACATTCCTTCACGCACGCTACCAACTTTAAATATTCTGGCATTGACAATTAGGGGAATGAAAACTTATACAAAAGCGTAAACTTAAATTTAATTGGTTATTGAAAATAATTATAAATCCCTACAAAATTAATAATTTTGTTATGTACAGAAATAATTAAAATCAAGCAATAAACACTTATTCATACTGATGTTTATATTATTCAGTTATATTGTATGCTAAAAGATTTGAATATGTCCGAAGTTCATGATTTCATTTGAACGATGCTTTTGCGTGACATTTGTATATACGGAGAGAACAAAGGACTCTTTTTACCGAAGCGGATTGTAAAATGCATTTAAAATAGAGATTTTCTCGTGACCTTAAAATAGAGATTTTCTCGTGACCTTAAAATAGAGATTTTCTCTGATGTACGTCCGTACCTAAGTATGAATTTATTTCCCATAACTGGAAAACGAGTAGCCTCATAACGTGGAAATTTTGTATATGTGGCTGCTGTAACATATAGTTGTGCATCTGCCTTTTTGGTTGCAATCAGCCGCACCAAACATGTGTTGGTGCGCCAAACATACATGAACCAAACATATGTGTACCATATGTACCAACATATTTATGCACCAACTCTCGTGTAACAACTCGCGGCTCGTGAGCTCAGTTTTTTATTCTGATATGTTGGTAAATTAAGCATTTTTTGCTTTAAAAATGATTGAATTATATTGTTCTTATCTTCCGGTTAAGGGAGATTAACAAGGATTTATGCAATAGTTCTAAAATTATCAACAATTTAAAAGTTGTTTAGGTTCCACCACGAAACGCCATTTGTTTACATTTGAAAACTCTGAGTAGAATAGTGAATTAGTGAATAGCGCTTGCGCCAATTTCAGTGCCTTTTTGACGAGTGGATCCAAAAGTAAATGTTCAGTTTTGTGCACAGAAAATCAGTGTTCCTGCCCGTTGGTCGATTTGCATGTCTTTGAGTAGAAAATCTATTTAAATTTTTTTTTTAAAAATTAAATTGTTTTTGAATGTATTTGGTGTTTTATGTTTTTCTATAATTTACAATTTTAATGAAGATGTTTTGAATTTTATGTACTTTTGCCTTGCCGCGAATGAGAATGAATTAATTGAATGAGAAATATATCTCAATTAAATTCGGAAAGGAAATAAGTTTAAATGAAATGCAGCAAAAAATGTGTATAATTTAATAGGTCGTACAAAGAAGTCATATGGTGTCCACATTGGATTTTGTATGCAAACGATCCTAGCCAAATCGATTAAGATGTGATCCATACTGTTCTTCCAGTCAGGGTTAAAACAGAGGTGTAAAAGCTTAAAAAGAAGGTCAGTCATCATTTTAAACGCTACTGCTAAGTAAATATATTGCAACATATATAGACATTAAGTTTTATAATAGACATTTTTATTTACCAATTTTACACATAAATTTCCTGAACGTGTCTCATGGACTATTCAAATTCTACTATCCATTAAATTACACTTGTTCATTCTTTGAAAGAAACTATGTCATTTGTAGTAGCTAGGTATTCTTAACTAGTAAAAACGAAAACTTCTAAGATAAATACAAACTGTTTTAATCCTTGAAAACAAATTCGATTTATTTTGTAAATTAACAATGTTTAACGGATCATCCGAAAGGATAGCTGCAGGTTTTAATCTTATTAATACTCATTATAAACTGGAGATTTAAGATGTAGTAAAAGTATTTACTGCAATTTTGCAGAATTAACGAAAAAGGAAGTTTCGAAATTTGATGCAAAATTTTAAAATGCTGGAGAATGATTATATTAATTTATATCCTTTACCTTCACCGATAAATTACAATCAAGACTTTTGAGGTCAGATTTAGGAAATGGGAAAGCTGACATTTTTCAACATGATGCTTCTTTTTTGAACAACACAGCATTTGCTGTTGTTCAAGTTAAGTAACTGTTCCTACAAAGGTTTAATAAACATCATTTTGCAAATTCTATATGGGATTTAACTAATTAAAGCATAAAGAATATTCTATTAATTGAACATTTAGCCCTATTGAAATCACACAAAATGTCAGACGAGTATTTAAAGATATATAGTATGTATGAACTACTCAACGAAGTATAAAATAATATATTTCGTGTATTCCCCATAACTCAAATTTTGAAGTCTTGAATATTCATTTCATTTTTATGCAATTCCAGATAACGGGAATATATGTCAATTATTATTTATTTTTAAAGTCAATTATTATTTATTTTTAATTTTTATTTTAGTATTGCTATTCTAAAATCACCAAAAGAGTTGTTAAGGATTTAAAAAACAGGTGTTATTCGGATACTGAATGAAATTAATAGATTATATTTGTGTTGCAAACGCCTTATTTGAAATGACTGTAAAAAAAGAAGATTAATGTTTTTTTAGGTCCACTTCTTTTTCATCTATCCTTCTATATGGTCTTCTATGCATTTATTTCTTTGTCTGGTGGCCTCATAAATCACGAGAATCTGATCCTCTCAATTTGAGCTGGGCTTTGATTCACTTGCAAAATGTTTTAAATCAGAGTTCTGTATTTTTTATGATGACTTTTCAAAAACGGTTACATGAGTAAGTATTATTTAAATTATTGATTGCAGACTTGAATTATTGAATTATTGATTGCTAATTTAAGAGATGAATCAAATAAGGTCAGTTTTCAAGATTACTACGTTTTAGATAATATCTTTCAATAAAGATAAGAATAATTTAAAATTTATATGTGTGCCTTTTCGAAAGAAAATTTCATTAGCGATTCATTTCTTATTTTACCAAAATCCGTTTAAGAAAAATTTCCTTAATGTTCAAGCTAGATTATAAAGAAAAGTTTCAGAATTATGTGATTTTAACCAATTTTACCCAATTAAGAAAGGAAAAGCGAAATCTTAAGAATACATGTATATCTGAAATAAAATATTTTAAATTTTAGAAGAGTTTTTGCAAATAGGAAATTGGAAAGACTATTTTAAATTCACGTTTACCTGACTTAGATGGTACCTTTTAGCGATTCGTATTCTCAGCTTTTAAGAATAACTGTTTTTAGAACTTGTTTTATGCAATTATTACAAACTATAATTAATGTCTCCTAGGACAATTTTGGAAGACTTAGCGTGAGCTAAAACATCGACGCTAGTTTTGGGGAGGGGAAGGCGAAGACCCGGATAGAAATTTAAATTCAGTTAACTTTTCAAAATGGTGGCACAAGACCAAAATTGTCGTATTCTGAAAGTCTACCTATTAGATTCCTTTTTTAAATTAAAACCATTAATTTGAAACTAATTCTTGAAAGTGATCCTCGAATGTTTCTAAAACAAGCTGTATAATAATAATTTCAGAAAATTCAAGAGTTATTTTAGAAAATTCCTTTTCGTTTAATAATTATTTTGAAAATTATTTAGTAATCGTTATATTATAATAGAAAATATTGAACGTATTTATGTGTACTAAAATTAAGAATTAGCATGTATGAAAGAAAACACTTAACTTCAGCTGTTACATGACACATATTAAAATTCATTTTATTTATAAAAAACGTTTATGCAGAATAAAGAGCTGTCAGGTATAACTTATTCCATATACGTTTTTATTCTATATGTTAAAATTCAGTTTGTTTATGCAAAAAGTTTACATTCAGTTTGTTTAGTTTACAGAATAAAGAGCTGTCAAGTAGAATTTATTCCATACACATTTTTATTCTATACATTCCAGTGCTAATTTGTTCATGATAAAATTTTCAAAATACATTTACATTGTTTTTTTGCTTTTTTCTTGGTGCGGAATGTAGAACACATATTACTGTAAGAGATTTTTCTTCAAAAGTTCTTTTGTTTTAAGTCTTGTATTTTCCTAGGCGAGGAAACTGTACAGTCCAATATATCACACACATATAAGAAAAGGCAAGAAGCCATTTCTAAACTCGTACAGCATAATTTAATAATCTAAATAAAAGGGAGAATTCTTAAAGGTGTGAGCTGACTGAATGTTATTCAGACCGAATTCTGCGTCTGCAGTTACTTCATTATCAAAACCTCCCAAATCCAGTAAATCTGTATCAAACAGGCCGAATTCATCATCTCCTAATTCAACATCATCATTTCCTAATTCGAGTTCATCACCTCCTAATTCGAATTCGCCCTGTAAGAAAAAAAAAAAAAAAAAAAAAAGAAACTTTAGTTGAAATCAAACAGAATAGTTTTAAATTCTGTAAATACACACTTAATATAGACATAATAGAATTTAATTCGTAATATAAACGAGTATTAAATATTTGGAATGTAATACTCTTTAATTAAACAGTCCTTGTCTAGGAAAAGTAATACTCTTTAATTAAAGAGTCCGTGTCTAGTTTGCAAGATTTAGGAAACGTTATTCTAGCCAGTATCAATAGGTTTTTGAATTTAAAGAAATATTTTCAAAGGTATGGTTCAAAGTATTTTATGGTATTTCAAAGGTTATTTCCTTAAATTTCCTAAGGCATGTCGTTATTTTGTATTTTTAATTGCATATATCACTAATAAAACTATCATGATACACTTTTTTTTATTTTAATACAAATGCTACGTTTATTTTTTTTTATTGGATCTGACTTAAACTAAAACATCTGGTATTTTCGTTGGGATAACATTTGATATTGATAAATTATTGCGAAGATATCAGATTCAATACTTTTATACATTGACCATTTCAGGGCCGGACCATAGCATAGAGAATTAAGACAAGTAAATGTCTAGGGCCTGATTTTTTGGCTCTCGGTCAAACCGTCCACACTTTGAAAAATGTAAAAATAAAATGAAAAAAATTTGAAAATAAAATAAAAGTTTCCTTTTACTTCAGAAAAGGAATAAAATTCATCGATATACTCAAATTGAATCTAAATCTACAGGTTTCCATTTTTATTAAGATGTACTGATATAAATGGTCCACCGTACATGAACAACATTTCGCTGAGTCAGCTGATTAGCTCATCTGTAGGTGGGACGTATCACGTGATATTGGGTGCGTATTACAGAAGTCTAGTAAAAACATTAAACAGAGCAAGAGTAGAGAGCCAATTTTTGGTTCTAAATATTAAATTTCTAGAAGTGATTAGTTAGTTTAGTAGCTTTTTATTTACTGAATTATATAAATATTTTATATAAAATGAATTAGCGTCACGCTTCCGCTGATGAAAAAAGAAAGGATAAGAAGAAAATGAAAGAAACAATTAAGCAAAAAAATGCTCAGTTTAAATATGTTGTTATAACAAAAACATCATATAATATTGAGTCAGATGTTCAGTCTAAAGCAAAGATTATAAAAAAACAATTTGGTGACTATTCTGGAAACTCGAAAGTACACGGAAAAATGATAGAAACCAATGAAATTGAAACTGAAGTAATAGAAATGAAAATCATAGGAGGCTTACCAGATAATTGTGGAGAAATACCAAAATGCAAGTGATGAAGAAGAAATTCAAAATATAGAATATATGCCTAAAACCGTTAATGATACTTTAGTTTTGAAAATTTGGCCATTTCTTTGTGGTCTTTAAATTTAACAACAGACATGCATCATTATTTGCTTAACAATAAACCACCATCAAGTATTTCATTTATACATATCCTCGCTAAAAATGTAGTAACAGAAGCTGGAAAAACTGTATCGCGGTCATTAAAGAAAAATATATTTTTATTCGCAATAAAGCAAATGGTGAAAAAGTTGAATAAGAATGGTTAGTGTATAGTCCATAAAGTAAAGCAATTTACTGCTATGTTTGCAAGAAACTTTCGATCGAACTAACAACGTTTACAGAAGGATACCGGGACTGGAAACATGCAAAAATAAGAACACGAAAATTCTACTGATCATAGACATTCTAATAAAATTGTACGCAAGAAATTTAGTTGAGGAACGTATAGGCACTATCGTTGAAAAACAGTATTTAGAAGAAACAAAATATAGGATATTATAGGAAGGAAAAGTACTGCTACTGGTAAGCAACAACATTAAAGGTTTTGGCTAAAATTTCTCTTGCATTTCGTGGCAGTAATGAACGCTTTTCTATTTCCCGTAATTGAAACTACATAGGAGGTCTAGAATATTTGGCAGAATTTGATGATTTTTTAGCTTAGCGTATAAAAAAATTCGGGTTAGCTGGAAGAGGAAACGGGAGTTATCTCCCGTCAACTATTTGCGATGAATTTACTAAAATATTGAATAAAAAAATGTAAAAACATTCGTGTCAGAAGTTAAAGCCGCCAAATATTTTTCAATTATGATTAACTCTACCTCCTGATATAACTCACATAGACCAGTTAACTTTTATATTGCGTTATATATTAGAAGATTATTTTGGATATTTACCAATTTATTCGCACACAGGAGAATCAATAGAAAATGAATTTTTAAAGAAGATTGAAATATTAGGTTTGGCTATTTGCAACTGTAGAGAGCAAAGCTACGACAATGCGGCAAATATGTCTAGAAAATACTATGTGCTCCAAAACCACATTAAAAAAATGTAATCAAATAGCCCATTACATTCCTTGCGCTTCACATTCGGTAAATCTGATAGCAAGTAGTGCTAGTGAATGATGTTTGCAAGCAATAACATATTTTAATTTAGTGGAGAACGTTTATACATTTTTTCGGAGTCTACTCATAGGCGGAAAACTTTAGAAAGGAAGTTTCGCAGCAAATAATAAACATTTTACAGTAAGAAATTATATACGACTAGGTGGTCTTGTAGAGTTGATGCAGTCAAAGCAATTAACTCTAGGTTCAAGGAAATAAAAAATGCTGTACTTGATATATCTGTAGATGAATCTCAGAAATGTTGTGTAAAACTGGAATCCAGAGAAATAGCAAAGAAAAATAATTTTTTAGAATTCATTTTATTAACAGTTATTCGGGATAAAATTCTTTCCAGAATAAATGCAAGCAGTATATCTCCTTCTAAGACCCTAATATACCAATTTCGTTTGCGGCTAGATTTTTGGCAATTTATTTAATTACTTTAAGAAATTTAATTCAGAAAACAGAAGCGGAGGCATTAAACGCGCCAGAAATAAAAACATTTTACTTTACTAATAAAGGGTCAAGAAAACGGAAAGAACTTTTTGATACAGTTGTAGAGACATTAGGATTTTTTTGGAAGCCGGAAAGATGAAAAATATGCAACTGCCTTCGCCGGGAATCGAACCACGGACCTCTGAAATACCGGCTCAGTGTGCTGACCACTACACCACGAAAGCACGCTAGGAAAGTGGGAGAAATACCTTATATACTCTCTTTTCTAAAGGGCGACTGGGTTTTTTTAGGGGACCCAATCGCCAAGTCCTGGGTGTGGAGAATCCTCATCCAACACCCTTTTAGTTAGGGCGCCACTGTAGAGATATTAGGATTTTTTTGGAAGCAGGCAAGATGAAAAATGAGCAGTCACCTTCGCCGGGAACCGAACCACGGACCTCTGGAATACCGGCCCAGTGTGCAGAACCACTACACCACGAAGGCACACTAGGAAAGCGGGAGAAATACCTTATACAGTTCATCATGATTAGGTTCATGTAATCCGGGTCAAGAAGCCTTTAAACGAAATAGCTTTTACGTAATATGTGACAAAACATCTTTTTAACTAAAACTACATAACAAAAGTTACAAAGATTATTAATGAGATTTTAAAATATTTCATACGAACTCAAATAACAGTGCATCAATATTGAATCTGAAGAAACCATGTAACTAAAAAATAATGGTATAGTGAAGACATTTATACAAAAGAACTGGATGAGGAACTGTTACAATTTCTATTATACTTTGTCAAAAGCCAAATTTAACGTTGCCGTCTGACGTGTTACGATTTATAAAGACTAGAAAAATTGTATTAACCTTTCCAATATGGAAATCATATTACGTATCTTTTTAACTTTTTAAAAAAACTTTCACTTCCCCACCCCGTATTTGGAAGTTGTTGTTGAACTTTTTTTTTGGAAGTTGTTTCAGTTGAATTTTTTTTTTTTGGGGGGGGGAAAGCTTAGGAAACGATTTTGTTGTCAATAATAACAAATATAGTTTACCTACCTACTCCTCTGCGCTGGGAAAGTTCTGGATTGCTATAACGACTTCCAGTTGATTAATCAACTTAATTAATTGATAATAATTAATTAAGTTGATTAATTTAATACTATTGAAATTTGCAACTGACCAGGTTCTGGACAGTATTAGTTTAAGTGGTCACAATTATATTATATTTGAAATTAATAATATAGGCTCTCAGGAGAATGACCAATCACGAATTAGACTGAAAAGTCTAAATTGAGTTATTCTTAAAGAACTGATGTATGAGAATTTTTCACAAATGAAGTTTAGAAATGATATAGACAACACTATTCAAGATATTAATTCAAACATTCGAAATATATGCGATAAGGCACCTTGAATGGAACCCTGGGAATAAAGAAAAAGATTTTTGTCCATGGTTTGGAACTATAACTTGAATACAGAAAGGAAAAAAGTAAGATCCCTTAGAAGAAAGTATCAAAATTCAGTTGAAGATCAAAGAGCTTATCATAGAGAAATTTATTGTAAATCTTTAGCTATTTATAGAAGAGCTAAAGAGGAATATTGGAACACTCAATGACAAATAATATTAATGAAACTCTTGAAGAGATTGTAAATTTTCATTTTATGGATGATAAATACAATTGAAGACGATTTGGATATACATCATCAAATTCGAAATAGGACTAGTTACCATCCCAGTTTCAAGAAATGATGTTTTGTTTAATAGAAAAAAAAGCATAACAGGCTTTTGAAGATATGAGAAAGTACAAAGCTCCGAGTCCAGATGGGATTTTTCCTTGAAATCGTTATTTTATACAAATGAAAATTTGATTCAATAGCTGTTTGATTAAAGGTTATTTTCCCGATGATTGGAAGAGAGGAGGACTTGTGTTGTTCTCAAAGTCGGGTAACCCAGCTGAGCTTCCTGCAGATTATACAACTATTTGTTTTTTACCTACAGTGGGTAAAGTTATGGACAAGTTAATTAACAATAGATTGGTTTATTTCCTTTGTAATGAAAATATATTCTACAAAAATCGATTTGGATTTACTCCAGGCAGAGGCACAGGATGGCGATACAAAAAATTACTGAT